AGCAGTCTTGGGAGCAATTTGGTTAAGTCAATGCTGGAATGACTGATAGTCACAATAATGAGTGAATTTTTAAGAAGTTAAAATGAGTAATTTTTTTTGTCAAGGTACTAATTTATTTGCAAAAAAATGGATACTGGGGTTTACATGGATGATTCTACACAAAAAAAAGTTTCTTTGTGTTTCTCCCCAAAGCCCAGAGTAGTGAGAATTCTTCAAGGTTACTGGCTCCTGTGCACAAGTGAAAGTGGTATTCCAGTGCACTGTAGCCAATTTTTCCTTCTTCTTATTAATACTACTATGTCTATTCACTATTTCTGTGCCACTTTKTAACATGTTCTTACTAGATTTGAGATGAGCTGTTTTACTACTACTAGTAGTACTAGTAGTTGTAATTGCATCCTCCTGGTGAAGCCAATAATAGTACTAATAGTACATCTGAAGTATTACTACTTCTAATGTTGTGTCTCGTCCCTCTTGTTCTTGTTGCTCTTGCTATGTGGTGGTGGTTACAGCTGGTGGTGGATCATTGGCATGAGGATGTTGTAACTAGTATTAGTAGTAGGAGAAGTAATAAAATAGTTGAAACCTAGTCTACTAGTACTACTATTGCTAGCTAATAATAGTCATAGGATGAGTAGCACTAGTAGTACATGGTAGATTCCTTTTTTGTCTTCTTGTTGGCTCAATTCATATTCTAGCCCCAACTGTTGTTCTAGCTATAGCTATCACATAGCACTTACTACTATATCAGGGGTCTGAAAAGCAATGATGATGTTTGAGGCAATGCTTTACTAATAATACTACCAGTGAGCTCATAATTTTTGTGACAGTGCAAAGCTTACTAGTAGTAGGTCTTCCAAAAGAGTWCCTCAGTATTGTAAGACTGAATACCTGTGGGACTAACTAGTTTGGCAAGATGCAATTCTCATAAATTGTTACACCTCCTCAAGGAGGTTTAGTACTCATTATATTACCACTACTACTACTACTACTACTACTACTACTANTTTTACACGGGAAAAAGATGGCCGCTAATCCACGGTTTAAACCGTACATTGGCTGGCCAACGCTATACGATATAGGATTTTAATACCCTAATATAAATAATAACAGTATTTTTACATGTTTGTACTACTACTAATAGTACACCAGTCCTGTATTACCAACATAGTAATAAGCCCTATTAAGAATTAACGCGACGTGCTACTAATATGACCATCAATGACTTAGTATATATAAATATATATATATATATTTTATATATATATATATATATATTTATATCATATAAATCGAATATAAATATTAATGTAAGAATAAAAGTACATATTAATTCTAATCCGTTGGAAAAAATGTGATCAAAACTGATCACAAAAAATTGTGATCAAGAAATTCATCAATTTTGTGATCATTTCTGATCACATTTTTTTGTGATCAAAACCGATCACATAATGGAAAAAAGGGGACCGGAGAATTTAAATTTTTCGAAAAACATCGAAATCGACATGGTTCCTGGCGCTCTGTGTTTCGGTCAATCACCATTTGTCACTCAAACCATTCATTCACCATGTCAACATTCAAAAAACTACAAGCCCGGAACGTCCAAGGTCCCAAAGTGAGCCTTTTGGCCATGGCGTTGCTGTGTGTTTTGTTGCTGTTTCGTACATTTTCCGATCCCTTTCCTGAGACCCAGGAACAGCCGATGCTTCGCGTTCCGGTTGCCAATCGGCTTTCCCATGATTATGCGATTACAGTGTCCAAGACGGACCCTTCCATTGCCGTGTCCGTGTACAAACAGGGTGACATTGTGTCGAACAACATTGTAAAACACGGATACTGGGACGGAGGTCTGACCGAGGTCGTCTCGGCCATTCTTGATGCCCGACGACAACATCATCCTTCCACTGGCAACACGCAACCACAGACCATCGTCGACTTTGGCGCCAACGTGGGATGGTTCAGCCTCCTGGCTGCCTCCAAGGGCCATCGATCGATTGCCGTCGAGCCCATGTCGTCCAATCGCGGGGCCTTGTTACAGTCGGTGGCACTGAACAGCTTTGACGACCTGATTCAAGTCGTGGCGGCAGCACTCGGCGACGGTTCTTCGGATTCGCCGAGCAGCCTGTGCATCCAACCGAGGGTGGCGGGGCACAACATTGGTAACGGTCAAACGACGACCAAAGTGGACGACTGCGGCGAGGTGGTTCAGGTGAGGACCCTCGGTTCGATCATCGGAAACAGAAAGGTGGATTTCGTCAAGGCCGACTGCGAGGGATGCGAAGCCAATGCCATCATGGGCATGAAGGACATCATAGCGGGAAAAAGTCCACCGTGTTCCTTTGCAATCGAGTGGAGGGTAGAGACCATGAAGGAACTCGGTGGGAACCCAACGGAGGTCACAAAGCTCCTTTTTCAATCCGGGTACCTCTTCTTTCGGCAACAGTGCGACTTGGTGACTGGAGAGGGTTTGAAACTGACCGAAATTCCTTCCTCACTGGTGCTGGAGAAGCTTCCTACCGGCTCCATGGATCTCGTCTTGCTTCACAATTCCAAGCGCTGCTTCGAACGAGACGGGAAAGCCTTTCGTTACGTGATGGATCGCGTGGCTTCGTTTCAACCCGTCCTTCTCTGATACCCACAAGAGTGATATCTCAAGTTTATTCCCAATTGACAACGAGATTGTTATACTTATCGTGTTACAGCGCTATCTGCAACTTCACTGAGATATCGATGATTATATTGATGTATATCAGAAGATGATAATTTTGATGTAAATTGTTAAGGTATGAGCTATTAAGTTATTGATTATTGATTGTTTGAGGAGCATGAAAAGGTGATTTTAGTATTCAACAAATGAATCATCATAGCTTTCTCGTATTGTTTTTAGTAGAGATGAAGTGGATATGGTAATACGTGGTGGAAGTAACATATATATTGTGATAGTCATTGAAGATCAACGCCTTGGGCAAGATCAAATAGACATTCAGCATATGTTTGGGTTCCGTACATTGTTGCTTACTTACATAACAAATAAAGATGAACGACCATAGAATTGTTGTTCCAAACAGATAATATGTGAGAATAACATAGACAGGGTCTTGGTTGAAGACCATTCATGTGTATGACAAATAGATTCAAGATTGAATGCAACGCATAGATGTTTAGTCAAATCAATCATAAATTGTCAATACTGTAACTGTCCTGTCCAGGAGATGTTAGGTTTTCCTCTGGTCCAGGCTTTGTCTCCATAGTATCCGGGATGTAATCCTCCCATCTTTGGCTTTGGGACCTTGACAATCTTTCAACTGGTAGTTGAGGTATCACTGTCTGCGTCTTGATCATCTGTTTGTTCACTCTTGCAGAATTTGTTTTTGAGCTTGCAAATATTCTCACTGAGGATTTGGGTCTGCTTTAGGAGCTTGTTAATTCTGTGGATCCAGATCATTCTGGCTTGTCTTTGCATCTTTTCAATGAGGGAATTGCTTGGTGGTGCAGTTGTGGGGTTGATGCCCAAAGTTTCATCATCCTTGGTGTCACTGACTCTTCTTTGAGTGTTTGACCTCTGGGAGTCATGTACTCTAGGATTCTTTGGGCTATGTTGCTCACTTGAGTTATAAGGCTTGGTGCCCCAGAGCTTGTACTGTTGGACTGTTCCATTCATGAAGCCAGTAGTAGATCAATTTCCACTTGCAGTATTGTCTCTTGTCTTTCAGCAATGTCTAGAAGTTTGCTCTCGTCCTTCAGCAGTTGCTTCTGTTCCATCAGTAGATCCAGTAGATTGTCTTTGGAGAGTGTGTCAATGTTTGTGATTTTTGCAACATCGTCTGTGACTTGAGTGATTGGATCGGTGTCCAGATTGTTTCCACTTGCTTGAGGCCTGGTTTGATCTCCTTGAGGTTCTTCATCTGAATCTAATGGTGCTGGCACAGAAAGGGCGGTACTCACCCCAGACAATACCGCTTTGGTACCACGACATTTTGGGTGACAAAACAGTCATGGTCATAATGTGGTTCTAAAAACACCAATAACGTTTCAAAAACTGTACCAAACAGAAATAAACTGCTGCGAACATGTTTTGGTCCTGCACTACCATTGTTTTACTACAACACTGTCCTCTTTCTTCTCTTCAAGTAAAAATATCAAATTGAATAGTTGAAAAGGCACCTTCTACTGAGATTTGTTGTATTATGATTATAAACCACTATCTACCTCCTGTTGTTTGTTGTACTGACAACAAAATGGTTTCTTTGGTCCAGAAAAGATACATCCCCTCAAAAAATAACATGTATTTGCAGGTCCAGAATTGCTAGTACTAGCAGTTAACAGACACCATAATTCTTGTTCATCATTAAAAGAGGTGGGGGTGGTGTCACATACTAGAAACTTCAACCTAGCAATGATGAGTATTGCTATTACTGAGACAAATTGCATCAAAAATTACTGGGGGTACCAATGTGTAACATTGTAGTCTTCAATATTTTTCTTGGTGGCACTCTGCTTTTGTTTTGCTTTTACTAAAAGTAGTAGCTCCTTGTAGGTCTGTGTTAGATCTTTACTAAAACTACTAGGAAATTTAACACAAGCAAATAAGAATAAATAGAATCAGTCACATGGTTTACATGTTACATTCTTCCTGCTGCTCATCAAAAGCAAAAACAAGAAGAATAGGAAGCAGAACAATATAAAATCACTAGAAGAACAAGAAGAGGAGTGGTAGCAGTACTAAGATCAACAACAGTATAACTAGCTACATGACTAATTTTGCTATTTATTAGCTTTTATTCTTCTTCTTTCTTCAACTACTACTACTACTACTACTACTACTACTACTACTACTACTACTACTACTACTACTAGTACCAGAAATATTTTTGATATTCTTGTTACATTTAGTATCAGCAGTAGTACTAATCAAAGCAATACTATTGATGCTACTACAACTGGTACTAGTACTGCAACTTGCTTGATGCCTTCTACTATTAAAGTATTTCACACTAGTAATAGTAGTTAGTATCAAGTAAAAAAGTACATTGGCAAGGAGGACAGTGTCAACAACAAAACTTGCTGTTGTTCMTATTATAGGAGGGGCATTACTAGTACTAGGTGCTGTTATCAAACAACATGAGGAACATGCTTGAACAGTCCATCATGAGGTGCTACTACTAGTATTCTGTCAGCAATCCTCTCCAATTATAATCCATATTTATAATACCAATAGCTACTACTAGTACTAGTAGTCATTCTACCTCTTCCTCCTGGTTGTGGCTCCTAAAAGAATCAGACTCC